ATGGTCTTGTGTATGTTTTTTTCACATTATTTATTATTTGTTTTTTTGTATATACTTTCAATCATATTGTTTGGCTTACTATGAGACCATTTCAATATGTGCACATTTCTCCCCAGACCCATTGATCAAAATATCTTTAACAGATCATGCCACACCTCTCCCACCCCGTCAATGCTCTACCTCTGTATCCTTTCTCCAAATGTTTTTCGTTAGGCCCCACTCCTCCACATACACCTCATCTGACATTCACACCCATCTCTTGTGTTTGTTCAACCATTAGTCAATCAGTTTCAGTCATAGAATGCAGACATATGGTATATGTTAAGTGGGGACATACAATGTCTCTCCTTCATAGCCTGGCTTGCCTCACTCAGCAGTACGTATTCCATATTCTTCCACTTTCTTTCTTTTTTTTCTTTTAATGTTTACAAGTTGATAATATTTTTTTCACATGATTATTTTATTTATGTATTTATTCATTCATTTTATTTTAATATGACCAGAGAGAGACAGGGAGAGATAGAGAAAGAGAAAATGAGAAAGCAAGTCACCACGTCCAGGACTTGAACCATGGTCAGCCATGTGGGAGTGTCCAGCACCTTAACCACCATACAATCTGCTGGTCCCAACATTCTTCGACTTTCTGTCAAAAGTCAGGGTTCTGTTGTTTTTTATGGCTGAGTAGTATTCCATAGAGTATATGTGCCACAGTTTTTCAATCCATTCCTCCGTATGGGGGCATTTGGGTTGGTTCCATGACTTAGCAATTGTGAATAGTGCCTCAATAAACATCGATGTGCAAGCATTTTTCCAATGAAGAATTCTTCTGTCCTTTGGGTAGATACCAAGGAGTGGGATCCCTGGATCATGTGGCAGATCTATCTGTAGATTTTTGAGGAATCTCCAAATTATTCTTCAGAGTGGTTGGACCAATCTACATTCCCACCAGCAGTGTAAAAGAGTTCCTCTTTCACCACGCCCCCACCAACACCTATCTTTTTTTTTTTTTTTTAATATTAGACATTGTGACTGGGGTTAGGTGGTACCTCATTGTTGTTTTTATCTGCATTTCCCTTACGATGAGGGAGGTTGAACATTTTTTCATATGCCTTTTGGCCATTCGTATGTCATCTTTAGGGAGTGTTTTTTTCATCTCCTTCTCCCATCTTTTAATAGGGTTGATCATCTTTTTTCCAAACAGCTGTTTTAGTTCCTTGTGTATTCTGGTTATCAGTCTCTTATCTGATGCATAATTTACAAAAATATTTTCCCATTCTGAGGGCTGTCGATTCACACTAATTACTGTGTCTTTGGCCATGCAGAAACTTCTTAGTCTGATGTTGAACTAGCCTTGCATCCCTGGAATAAAACCTTCCTGATCATGATGTATAGTCTTTTTATATGTTGTTAGATACAATTTACAAGTACTTTGTTGAGAATTTTTGCATCTATGTTCATCAAAAATATTGGTCTATAGTTTTCCTTTTTTGTCATATCTTTATCTGTTTTTGGAATGAGGGTGATAGAGGCTTCATAAAATAAATTTGTGTGATATCCTTACTTTTGGATCTTTAGAAATAATTTGAATAGAATGGGGGTTAATTTTTTTTTTTTAATTTTGTAGAATTCAGAGATGAAGCCATCAGGACCTGAGCTTCCCTTTGTTGGGAGATTATTTATTACTGATTTAATCTCACAGTTTGTTATGGGTCTATTTAGGCTTTCTATGTCCTGCTGATTCAATCTTGGTAGATTATATGCATACAGAAATTTGTCCCTCTCCTCTATGTTCTCTTGTTTGTTGGCATATAGTTGCTCATAGTATCCTGCAATGATGTTTTTTATTTCTATGGAGTCTGTTGTAATACTGTCTGTTTCATTATGTATTTGATTTATCTCATTAATGTTGTTGAAGAATCAGCTATTGTTTTCATTTATTTTCTGTATTGTTCATTTGTTTTCTATTTTATTAACTTATATTCAAATCTTTATTTCTTTTTTCCTAGCTTTTTTTGCATTTGTTGTTGTTGTTGTTGTTTTTCCAATTCCCTGATGCATGATGTTAGGTTGTCTATTTGCCACCTTTCCATACTTTTCTTATACACACTAATTGCTATGAATTTACCTCTTATGATTGCTTTTTCAGTGCCCCATAGGTTATGGAAACTTGTGTACTCATTATCATTTGTTTCCTTAATTTTTTTTTTTTATTTTAGACTTTATTACTTCAGCAGTTGAGAAGTCATTCAGAAGTAGGTTGTTTGGTTTCCATGTGCTTGTGTCTTTTTGAAGATTTTTCTTGAAATTAATATCCAGTTTAATACCATCAAGGTCAGAGAAATGCTACATATATTTTCTATGCATTTGAATCTGTAAAGACTTGATTTGTATACTATCATATGGTCTATTTTTGAAAAGGTTCCTTGCTAGGGTAAGAAAAATATATATTTTTGATCTTAGGCTGGAAAGTTTTTTTGGTTTTTTTGGAGAGGTTTTTTGTTTGTTTGTTTGTTTGTTTTTTTGCTATAGGGCATGTGCGCTCACCAGACAGACAGAGAGAGACAGAGAGACAGAAAGCAAGAAATCACCCCCCAGGGGGGATAGCCATGCCGCAATCCCTTCTCCTTCATTCTCCTCTCAGGATCTTGGGCACACATGCACATGCGCCCGGCGTGAGTTTAAGCCACTGGGTCCAGGGCTCGAACCACGGTCGACTATGTGGGAGTCCAGCAACATAGCCATTACGCTAACTGCTGGTCCCTAGGCTGGAAAGTTCTATAGGTGTCTGTCAAGTCCATTTGATTTATAGTATAATTTACATCTTGTATCTCTTTCCTTAGTATTTTGTCTAGAAGATCTGTCTAAAGGAGATAATAGGGTCTTGAGATACACAACAATTATAGTGTTGTAACCTAGCTCTCATTCTAGCTCTAGCAGTCTTTCCTTTATGTATTTAGGTGCTCCTGAGTTGGGTGCATAGATATATCTAAGCATTATGTCTTCTTCATGAATTAGCCCAGTTACTATTAAATAATGTCTTCTTTGTCTCTTGCAGTTTTTGTCTTAAAGCCTGTTTTGTCTGAAATCAGTATCATGACTGTGGCCCTTTCTTGATTTCCATTTGTGTGAAATAATTTTTTCCAGACCTTCACTTTTACTCTATGTATGTCTTTATCCATAAGGTATATTTCTTATAGGTAACAGATAGAGGATTTTTGGTTTTTTTGTTTGTTTGTTTATTTGTTTTTTGCTTTGTTTTTGTTTTGTTTTGTTTTGTTTTCCATTCAGCCACTGTGTGTCTCTTGATTAGAGTGTTTAATCCATTAACGTTCAATGTTATTACTGACATTTCTGGACATGCTCCTATCAATAAGTGAGTCATTTTCTTCGTTGTTTTCTATTTTCCCTTATATCTGTTTGTCTGATGTAAGTTTTACTGGTATAGCACTCTCTTCAGAACTTCTTCAAGTGTTGATCTTGAGTTGGTAAATTCTTTTCATTTTTGTTTATCTGAGAATATGTTTATCTTTTTTTCCCATATAATCTTGCCAAGTATAGTAATCTTGGTTGAAATAGTTTTTCATTTACACCTTGACTATAGTTCCCCATTCTTTTCTTGCATGCATTGTTTCTGATGATGGTTCTGATGTTAACTTGATGAGATAACATTTGTAAGTAACTTGACATTTCTCTCTTGCCAATTTTAGTATCTTTTCTTTGTCTATTGTTTTGGTCAATCTGGTTATACTGCATTTTGGAGAAGATCTTGGGTTGTTTTAAGTGGGGGTCCTTTGAATTTCTTGGATCTGGATATTTAAATGCCTCTCTAGAATTGGAATGTCTTCTTCCAGGACTTCATGGAATAGATTATCAAGGCCCTTATTATTTTCTTCACCTTCTGGGATACCAATTATCTCAATGTTTGGGCAGTTTATAACATTTAATATTTCTTACATATTGTCTTCATTTTTCTTGGTTACTTTCTCAGTGTTCTTGACAATTTTTTCTAGGTTAGAGGTTTTGTCTTCCACACTCAGGATTAGATCTTCTGTATCATCTAATCTGCTTTTAATACTTTCAAGGGAGATCTTAATTTCCTGTGTCACTATCTTCAATTCAGTATCTTACAATTCATTTTTATTCTTTAAAAAAAAAATTTGGTGTCTATTTCTTCTTCCAAATTGTGAAAGGACTTCCTCATCTACTGGATCTCATTGTCTCTTTTCTCTTGCATCTCGTTTAGTTTAGTCACTATAAATATTCAGAATTGTTTATCTAACATTTCCACGAGTTCCATTGTGTTGTCTGTGAATGATGAGGAATTGATTTTTTCCCTTAGGGGAAAGATATTTTGTTGGTTGCTCATTTTTCTTGTACCTCTGCAATAGTTTCTAATCATCTGGCAATTTATGTATTCCTTCCTAAATTCTTTGAGTTAATTCTGAATGTTCAAAGCATACAGGAGTGGGTGACTGCCAATCTCCCTGCTGCTCTACCTCCCTGATGCCCACCAATAATCTTCACTGTTGTCACTGGTCTTGGATGATCCAAAGTTCTTTCCATGTTAGAATTAAAAGGCATGCATGGAAGGTGATGATCCATGGTTCTTCCAGCTAGTGTTTGAATTCAAAGGCATGCGTGGAAGGTGATGATCCATGGTTCTTCCAGCTACAGGCAGCCTGCTATACAGCAAGTCCATTCTCTGCAATGTGTCAGCCACACATCTTTGAGTTATCAGAAGCCAATATACCCAGCAGTGGGGGTTGGGTGCACAGATCATGATAGAAATCTGGGTGGAGCCTCACATATTGCACTGCTCTTATTTTTTTCTTCTTCATACTTGCTTTGTGAATAATTTCATGCTCTATGGAATTCCCTGTGATCTCTTTGTCACTCTGAAGGGTCATGTTAACCCAGCTTTTACATTGTGTTTCCAGGTGTAAGATCAATGCATTAGGAGGGATCCAAATATCATTCTACACAATTAACAACACACTTACTTGTGGAATTTTGTAGTGCTCCAAAAGGGTTCCAATTTGGACTGAAAATATTGGCAGGTCTCCTGCAATGACAGCTATAGGTTGTTTCTGAATCTGACAGTTGTTGTTAGTCAGGGTTTCATTCCCTCCAGAAAGCAAATACAGAGCACTCTCAAAGGTCCTTTGGTCACTGAGAAGTGCATTGTAGAGATCATAACCCAGGGAAAGGTTGTGGAGCAAATGGAGGCTCTTGTTTATCTCCTCAATGGCAAAGAGAAAGGCCAAGACATATTGATAGTTCTGCCAACGCCACCTAAACAGAGAGGAGATTACTGGGAAATACAGTAGAGTCATTATTCAGGGTAAACTCTTCAGTCAAGGCAAGAGACACAAAGGGTTATATTTAAGCTGCTATTCAGAGTTTCTCCTGCACTGGTTTACTTATTTGTTTATTTTTTAGAGAGATTTTTTGATATAGGGCATGTGTACTTGCCAGAGAGATAGAGAGTGGTAGAGAGACAGAAAGTGAGAAATCACTGCCCAAGGGAGATGGCCATGTCACAATCACTTCTCCTCCATTTTCCTCTTGGGGTTTTGGGTATGGACACACTCATGCCTGGCATGAGTTTTAAGCTGCTGGGTCCAGGACTTAAACCATGGTTTACTATAAGGGAGTCCAGTGACATTGCCATTAGGCCATCTGCTGGTCCTGTGTATTGGTATTTGAAGATGTTTGAAAAAGTTTTGCAGGGCTCTGGAAAATAATGAAATTGATTTTGTCCTCTGTTTAAGCAAATTGTTTTCAAACAGTCAAAAGATCTTCAGGGCATTGTGAGTGTAATGAGATCTCCTTTTAGCAGAATGATGATGCTGTCACCTGAACAAACTTGATATTAAGAGAGGGTACTTTATGTATGAAGAAGGTGGAAATATGTGAATTTCCCAAAAACCTACAAATATAACTACCATGCAACCCAGCAATTTCACTCTTGGGCCAAAAGATGGAGAAACACTCAGCCAGAACAACACTTGCACATTCATGTTTACTGCAACTTTATTCACAATTGCTAAGAATGGAATCTATCCAAATGTCCAATAATAAATGAATGAATTGAAAATGTGTAACATATAAACTATGGAGTACTACACAGCCATAAAAAGCAATGAGACTGTGGCATTTGATAGAAATTGGGCAAATATGAAAAAGTTAATGTTAAGTGAAGCAAGCCAGACTATGAAATACAGACATTAAATGTCTCAACTTAATATATACAAAACATTTGCACTCTATTGCAATACTGAAAGATTGGACAGTATAACAGCAGGGAGAGAAACTGTGGATACTAGAGACAGTATAGGAAGGAATGGGTAATATGTGCAAGGGGATCAGGAAAGAGATTAGGAAGAAAATTCATCAGATGCAAAAATGAAAAGTTATCTGTTAATAATAATGTATATGACAATATTTTAGACTTCAATATTTTTCCTTATTATTTACTTATTTTTTACATTCAAGAACTGTGTACCATTGCAGCAAAACAAAATGTTCCCATCGTGAACACTGCATATTTGATACCAAATAAATGTTCCCATCGTGAACACTGCATATTTGTCCAGTCAAAGAAACTACTTTATACATTATAATCAACAGATTTGCTTCCATTTTGGGTCCCTTAAATGTTTTGCTTCTTTCTTCTTCCCCTTGATTCCCTCACTCTCATCCTCCCCCTTTTCACGCACTCTTCCACACTGTCTCCACTATCACCAATGATCTCAAATCATTCAGTTTCTGCCATAGAGTGCAGACATTCAGTATATATCAAGTGGGGACATGCAATGTATCTCTTTCATAGTCTGGCCTGCTTTACTTAGCAGTAAATCTTCCATATTTTTCCACTGTCTTCAAATACCAGAGTCTCATTGTTTTGTTTGTTTGTTTGTTTTTATGGCTGTGTAGTATTCTATATTGTATATGTGCCACACTCTTTTTTTTTCATCTGTTCATGAATATTTTGATTGATTGAATATTTTAGCAATTGTGAATAATGATGCAATAAACGTGGATGTGCACGTGTTTCTCCAACTGAATATTTTCCTATCTTTGGGTAGATACCTAGGAATGAAATTGCTGGATTACATGGTAGTTCTGTTTCTAGGCCTTTGAGAAACCAACCTCCATAGTACTCTCCATGGTGGCTGTATTGATTACCTTCCCACCATTGTATAGGTAAGATTCATTTTTATAAGTTCCATTTGATTCTTTTTTATGCTGTCCATTTCTTCTTTCAAATCATGAAGGTTATATCCTCATTTCCTTGAGTTCATTGTCACTTTCCTCTTGCATCTCAATTAGTTTTGCCCCTATGAATATTCTGAATTGTTTATCTGGCATTGTCACAAGTTCTATTGTGCTGTCTGTAGATGATGAGATGGTGTTCTTTTCCCTTGAGAGAAAGGTATTGTCTTGGTTTCTCATATTTCCTGTGCTACTGTACTGGTTTCTGGTCATCTGATGGACTATATGTTTCTCCCTAATTTCGTAGAGTTGTTTCTGTAGTGTCAGGGGGAAAGACATGGTCTACTTCTCTGGAGTGTTCTTGGAAGAGGGCCTCATCTTTACATCAGAAAATGGGTGTACTTGAGGTGCTTGGTTAATCCCAAATCTCAGGACTAGGTATACCTAAGGCTAAGATGGAGGAAGTTATTAAAAGAAGATGTACCTTGCACAGGCCATTAAAATATAAAATCTCAAGAGACCCCAGATATTCCAAAAGTCACTGGTATGGGGAGGTAAGCCACAGTTTCTCTACAGCTCTGTCACTCCATCCTACTGGTGCTGGCTTTGCATCATAGCTTGGCATTTAAAGGAGGGAGAGGGAAGGTGTGCTGCATTTTTCCTGCAGCTCCGTCGTTTCAACCCACTGAACTGACTTCAACAATTCGTACCATCCGAACCAGCAATGAGCATAATGGCTATGTCGCAGAAGTCACATGTAATCAACCACGATCCAGAAACCATAGTGCAAGCATTCTTTTATTTCCATATGGTATAAACATTCAAAAAGCATCAAAGTTGCCAGTTTTTCAATGATTTGACAAAATTATCCTCTAAAATATATTATTTGGTTGATTTTCCCCATACTTTTTAAAAATATCAACTCTCGTGAAAAAAATATTTTCAAAATACTTTTTCTTTGAAAAATATTCATGTAATTCAGACCTCCTAGTTATTTATAATTGATTACAACAATCTTTATTCAATATTTAAAAATTAAAAACCAAACAACTAGAAGGAACAGATATTGGGCAAGTAGAAATCCTCCAACAGAGGCAAGTCTTAAATTCTACTCAAATTTAAGGAATTCTACTATCACTTCTCTCCAGTGGTAGTGTAACTACAGTAATGAGAAGTTTCAAATAATCCCAAACTAAATTGCTATAAATAGATAACCATGGAAGAAAATTGCATACTGCTTTATCCTCTTCTGAGACCACATGCATGCTGATGGAATGAATTATTGACAAGCATATTCCACCATTGCAACCAACAAAGGATGCACAGAATACAGGCTGTCTGCTGGTAAACCTCGTATTAAACATAACTATAGTAACTCAGTTATAGCATACACATGCCACAGAATTACATAAAGCCCAGAATGAATGCAATTTTTGTATTGTTTACTGAAAACACAGTAAATCAAAATAAAAAAGAATGACATTATTCCACTCTAAAAAATTACCTAATGGCTCATTTTGACTCTTAGGATCACAAATCCAAATGCCTGATATCTGACAAAATTAAATGACTGAATTTTTGTTAGACATAGTTTGTATAAGGTGGAGAAGATACTCATGTCTTCTTTACAAAGCACATTTCTTTGGAGAGAGATTTTCTTCTATAGGACGCATGTGCTCATTGGCGAGACAGAGACAGAGACATAAAATGAGAAATCACCCTCAAAAGGGGATGGTCATGCTGCATTTCCATCGCCTTCATTCTCCTCTAAGGATTTTGAGTACATACCCCAGCTCCCCACACACAGACACATACACACACACACACATGCCTAGCATGAGTTTCAAGCCACTGGGTCCAACACTTGAACCACAGACAATCACATAAGAGTACAGCAAATTAACCACTATGCTACTGTCTGGCTCCACGAGGCACATTTCTATAATGTCCATGTTAACACTGAGCACTCAGAGTTTGCCCCTTGATGCTAACACTGACTTCACATTAGGGGTCAGTGTCTCCACAATGCATGTGGGTCTCACTATATGGATCTTGGCTGTAGGAGGGCTAAGGTCCCAAAATTGTCTTTCATTCTAAGCTTCCCAATGCATGAATATGGGGATAGTGTTGATGGTGTCAACAAAAGAAATTGTTGATTTCTCTGTCTTAAAAGGAATGAGGGGAGGGAACCAGCAGTTAGCGTGATGGCTATGTCGCTGGACTCCCACGTAGTCGACTGCGGTTCACGTCTCGGACCCGGTGGCTTAAAACTCACGCCGGGCGCATGTGGGTGCGTGCCCAAGATCCCAAGAGGAGAATGGAGGAGAAGGGATTGCGGCGTGGCCATCCCCTCTGGGGGGTGATTTCTCGCTTTCTGTCTCTATGTCTCTTTCTGTCAAGCGCACGTGCCCTATAGTGAAAAAATCTCAAAAAAAAAAAAAAAAAAAGGAAAAAAAAAGAAATGAGGGGAAATTGAAAAAAAATAAAAGTAATGAGAGAGAAATATCCTATGGCATGGGTGGTAAGGCAGCTGGAAACCACATGGCTGTTCATGTAGTTTTCAGTCCTGGACCCAGTGGCTTAGAAAAACCTGCCAGACACATGTATGTATGTGCCCAAAATCTCCAAAGAAGGCAGAAATGGAGAAGGAATTGAGGAATGATCATCATCCATGGAGGTGATTTCTCACTTTCCCTCTCTCTACTAAGTACACATGCCATCTGGCAATTTATAAAAAAGAAAGGAAGAAAAAGAGAAGGAAAAAAGAAAGAGAGAAATGTAGTAAAAGGATAGCAAGGCAGAACATCCCAAATTAACTATTCCTTATTTCTTCCAATTCTGTGTACTTTAATTATTTTCAATTGGGGTAATCACATACAGAGAACACAGTCATACACAGTTATAAACACATTTACATATATGTATAATGGAAAACTTACACAGAATATGCCAATGCTTGAGTTGGTCTTGTTAGAAAAGGTAGGCGAATTATAATATCTTCCTGTATTAAGGAATAAAGTGGAAAAAACCCACCCAGTACTAAGTCCCCATCTCTGTAGACACTTGGCTTTAAGTACTCAATACAGCCCTTCAATGTTGTTTCACATGCAGTCTGTAATGCCTGTAGAAGTAGCAAGAGACAAATAAAAGAGACTAACATGCTAGGACTTGTCCAACACAAAGGCAAAGCCTTATGTGTGTGTTGAGCTGAGAAGTTGGAGCTTGATCATAGCTACAGTTTCAGCGTTTTGCAGGAAGAATCAACTTTTGTGGAAGTGACAGAGGATGCCTACCTTCACTATCTGCTTTCAACCTGTACAAAGTATGTCCCAGACTGGAATGGCAGATGAGGGCACAGCTAGGAGCATTAAAAAGGCATTTCTAAAAGAGTCACTGTGCTGAGACATCTCTTGCTGTCACTGTGCTCTCATGAACTCGCTTCCCTGTCTTTTTACTGTGTCAATTCAGTCTCATCCAGAAGTTCTGAGGATCACCTTATCTTGGGGCTGTGCACCTGTCACCCATTATTCTGGTGAAAAACAACTTGGCAGAAATATATTATGGAATCTTTTTCTTCCTCAGACTCTGTGATTTCATCATGGCAAGCCAGGCTTTGGGGACCATCCCATCCTACAACAATGAGCTCTGCAATTTTGTGTCAAGAGAGGCCAAGTATGGTTGTCAAAAGACTGCTTTTAGGGATTTTGCCAAAGCAAAAGTGTGGTATTAAAATGAACAAAACACCTATGCCATAAGGTGTTTTGGTAGTAAGAAGGGAAAAGGCTGATATCAGTTGTTGACGGCTTCCTCAGAAATGCACAAAAGCACTTCATTACCATGTCCAATATCACTCTCAAGCCGGCAACACAATCCTGGGAGAAATGAGCCTTAATGGTTATAAAGGAGTAGAGAAGATTTGATAATTCAATAACCACTTCCAACCCTCCACAAATTTACTTATTTATTTATCCCTTAATACCACCCCCACCCCCAATCTCACATCCTGCTCTCAAACTCTCTCTGGTGTTGACAGTTTCTGTTCATGATTTAATGCCTTCCAGTCTTTCCGTTTCAGCCACAGAGTGCAGATATTTAGTATAAGTGGTGATGTACAATGCCTCTCTTTCATAGTTTAACTGATTTTACTTATTAAATCTTTTTATTTTATTTTATTTTTTTAGAGAGAAAGATTTTTACTGTTGGGTACATATACTTGCTGGAGAGACAGAAAGTGAGAAATCACCCCTCCAAGGGTGGTGATTCTGTAGTCCCTTCTTCTCCATTCTCCTCTCAGGATTTCAGGCATGTACGTACATGTGACCAGCATGAGTGTGAGGTCACCAGGCCCGGACTTGAGCCATGGTCAACTACATGGGAGTCCAGCGACTTAGTCATTATGCTACCTGCCAATCCCAACTTAGCTTTAAATCTTCCATATTTGTTCACTTTCTATCAAATTCCAGGGTGTCACTGGTTTTTATGGCTGAGGAGTATTTTTCATAGTGTATATGTGCCATACTTTTTCAATACATTTATCTGTTTTTGGACATTTGGATTGATTCCATGTCTTTGCAATTGTGAATGATGTTGCAATGACTCCTCAGTCTGATGTCTTTTTTTTACTGACCATTGATGATTCAGATACCAAATCTTCATTATTATATATACTCATGTTTGATTAACACAGACTCTGTTCTCAACCTGACATTTTTCTCTTGTCATGTATTTGTTTCTTCTATCAGCCTTTATGAAAAGCATTCTTGATAAAATTTTATTTGTTCATTATTTATGTATTTATTTTTCTAATGTTTTAACTAAGTATTTTTTTCCTTTAAAATTATTTTTACATTAATTCACTATACATCATTACAGCATACAAAATGAATTTTCCATCCAAAATACACTGTATATTGGCTCAATCAAGCACATCGACATACATGTTATCAACGAATAATTTTCCATTTCTTATGTCTTGTATATTTTGCCTTTTTTTTTTTTTTGCCATCCTTGATTCTCTATCCCTCACCCTCTGCCCTGTCCAACATTCCTCTCACATTGTCTCTGGTATCCATGGTTGTTTTCTATGCCTTTCCCCCCATTTAATTGATTTGCTAATGAGCTAAATTTGTCTAAATATTTGTAAGCGCAAGCACAGCTGCTATATACATATACATGAACCCAAGTCTGACTTTAGGCATAAACCTCAGTGAATAGAATGAACATATTATAAAGTAGTATTTAGCTGGGGCTATATAGCTTACTGCGGTCATCAAATATGCATTTTTTTATTTCAATAACAGTTTAACTGCGTTTTTTTTTTCTTGAAACTTTTTTTTAATTAATTTATGCTCATTCCCTGAGCATCATCACAACATACTAAATGTTGTTTTCCATATAGGATAAACTGCATAGTGGCTTAATCATGCATGTTATCATCAATAATATTCCATTTCTACTTTCATATATAGATATATATGTATATATATATAGATCTATATATATACATATATAGATATATGTTTTTTACCCCATGATTGACCCTCTGCCCTTTCCCAATCTCTTATTACACTATCTCTGCTGTCTACAGTTGCCTTCCATTCCTTTCCCCCCAACATTTTGTTGGTCACACCATGTCATAAGTAATCTAACTACTTTCAATAGCAAGTTCAGGTGGTGATTTAAAGAAAAGCAGTTTTGAACTGGTAAGGATATTTCCTTGAAACTTAAAGCCTAGACATAGGTTAGTATCCTGTTCAAATAGTAGGTACATGAATCTATTGACAGCTCAAGACAGGATAAAAATCCTTAAAACCAGACAGCAAAGCTTAGAAGAAAAGCAGCAATATTTTAGTCAAGTCACAGAATGCTGTTTCATCAGTTCCGTCTCATGTACTTAATCTTTATTCTGTTGAGGTTCGATCTTCCAGATTGAACTCTGGGATATAGTAATCAACTCCAGACTTTGTCCCTACAATTAAGTTGCCCATTTTCTTCGTTTTTGAACTCTTATTTCTGTGTGTCTGCATTTAATTTTACTGACATAGCACTCACTTAAGAACTTCTTGGAGATCTGGTCTGGTACTGGTAAATTGTTTTAGGTTTTGTTTATCTGGGAATGTTCGTGTCTTTTCTCCCCAAATGAATGACAATCTTGCTGGGTACAGTATTCTTGGTTGAAATTGCTTTTCCCTTAACACTTTGATTATATTTTCCCATTCTTTCCTTGCTTGCATTGTTTCCGATGAGAGGTCTGCTGTCAGTCTGATGGGATACCCTTTGTAGGTAACTTGCCATTTTTCTCTTGCCAATCTTAGTATCTTATCTTTGTCTGTGATTTTGGTCAATCTGGCTATAATGTGTCTTGGAGAAGATCTTCTTGGGTTGATTCTATTTGGGGTCCTCTGTATTTCTTGGGACAAAATCTTTGAGTGCCTCTCTAGGTTTGGAAAGTTTTCTTGCAGGATTTTATGGAAAAGATTATCAATGCTCTTATGAGATTCTTCACCTTCTGGGATGCCTATTATCCAGATGTTTGCACATTTGATGGTATCTAGTATTTCTCATATATTATTCTCAAATTTTTGGGCCATTTTCTCAGTCTTCATGGTGAATTTTCTAGGCCAGCAATTTTCTCTTCTACATCTGAGATTCTATTCTCTGTATGATCTAGTCTGCTTTTAATGGTTTCAAGGGAGATTTTGACTTCCTGTATTATAGCCTTCATCTTTAACAGTTCCATCTGATTCTTTTCTTAAGTGTGAAATTCCTCTTTTAGATCTTGCATGAATTTCCTCACTTCCTGGAACTCTTTAACTCCTTTCTCCTTCCTCTTCAGCAGTTCATTGTCTCTCTTCTCTTCCATTTCTGTTAGCTTTGCCATTATGAATGTTCTGAATTCTTTATCAGACATATCCATGATATCCGTTGAATTGTGTGTGGATGAGGAGTTATCTTTTTCCCCTGGAGGTGAGGTATTTTCCTGCTTTCCCATATTTCTTGTGGTCCTGCAGTGATTTCTAGTCATCTGGTGTATGGTCGGTTTCTTCCCAAACTTGGAAGTCCAATCTTAGGGAAGAGGAGCATGCGGAAAAGGAAACAGAGAGAGAGAGAAACAACAGCAACAACAGAAAAAATAAAAACAGAGAAAAAGAGAAGAAAAAACTAAGAGCAAAATGTTTAAATAAAACAAAAAATTAATCATCAAAAAATTTCAGTAAAACCCAAAAATTAGAAAACCACGTGGCACTCTTGCACACCATGCAAAATGGCTAGATCACAGGAGTCATGGGGAAAGGTGCATCTTCGAGAAGGCCTGTTCCCTTCCCTTTTGCCTCTCCTGGGTTGGGAGAGGAAGAGAGAATTATTAACAAGATAAAGGGATAGGAGGGGCCAGAAGGCCCAGAAAAAATTCCTCACCTTAAAAAATTCTAAAAAGTACAAATTTAAAAAAGAGAGAAGACAGAGACAGAGACAGAGGTAAAAAGAGACAAAGACAGATACAGAGACAGGAGACCTGAAGGGGGTCTTCCTATCACATGAGTTTTGTATGCTGGAGGTCAAATTATCAGTGAGAAGTCTTCATTTCTTGGTTTGCCCCAAAATGGCTAGATCACAGGAGCCATGGAGAAAGGTGTGTCTCTTTGAGAAGGCCTGTTCCCTTCCCTTCTGCCTCTCCATGCAAGTTTTGTATGCTGGAGGCTGAATTATCAGTGGGAAGTCTGAATGATCAGTGGGAAGTCTTCATTTCTCAGTTTGCCCCACAAGGGCTAGATTGCAGGAGTCATGGAGAAAGGTGTCTCTTCGAGAAGGCCTGTTCCCTTCCCTTCTCTTAACTAAGTCAAAATTTTGTATGTTTATGATATAGGAGACGTTTAGATAGATGTAAAATTTGAGGAATGACCAAATCAAGCCATTTGACATACACATTATCTCACAACTTTGTTTTAAGAATTATAACATGTCGGGACCAGCAATTAGCATAATGGCTATGTCGCTGGACTCCCATGTAGTCGACTGTGGTTTGTGTCCCGGACCTGGGGGCTTAAAACTCATGCCGGGTATGTGTGCATGTGTGCCCAAGATCACGAGAGGAGAATGGAGGAGAAGGGATTGCGGCATGGT